AGAAAAAGGGTCACGAAGACCGACTCCGCTATGCTTCTGGTGGCAATGAAACCTGTAAATTTGCCGTTGCTCACACTCATGGCCGTCATATTGTCCAACCATTGCCGGCGGATCAGCGGACCAGCGGATCAGCGGATCAGCGGATCAGCGGATCAGCGGACCAGCGGATCAGCGGATCAGCGGCTCAGCGGACCAGCGGATCAGCGGATCAGCGGATCAGCGGACCAGCGGACCAGCGGATCAGCGGATCAGCGGATCAGCGGATCAGCGGACCAGCGGATCAGCGGATCAGCGGATCAGCGGAGCAGCGGAGTAGCGGAGCAGCGGAGCAGCGGAGCAGCGGAGCAGCGGATCAGCGGAGCAGCGGATCAGCGGACCAGCGGATCAGCGGCTCAGCGGACCAGCGGATCAGCGGATCAGCAGCTCAGCGGATCAGCGGACCAGCGGATCAGCGGATCAGCGGATCAGCGGACCAGCGGATCAGCGGATCAGCGGACCAGCGGATCAGCGGATCGACCAGTGGATTAGCGGAGCAAGACCATTTGAATCAAATCCCACGCACATTCTCACACATATTGTCTGGCTTTGGGAGAGAGGGAGAGATAGATGGATGGATGGATGGACGGATGGATCGAGCACGCGAGAGAGAGAGAGAGAGAGAGAGAGAGAGAGAAAAGACGTTGACCAAGAGATTTGACATGGTTTGAAAACCTTTCACGGATGCTGATTTCCACCCAGACAGCTTTGGACGGCCGCTTTGTGGTAGGGGCATGCGCCCTTCTACTACATACACGTGTATACGTGTATACATGAAGTTTGCACATGTAGACTGCAAAGCAGCATATAGTCATTGTTTCGAGCGCAACCCTTTTTGCGCTTCTCTTATCTTATACATATTGTCAAGCACATGGTTTGCGCGGATGGAGCAGCGACTCGCTTGCTTGCTAGATGCCGTGACCAGTGCAGACCCGGCAGCAGTTGTGCCCGATGCCGTGGCTGGACGCGTGGTTGAGTGTCTTAGTGCAGAGATCGGGCATTGCCTCCCTGTCTTTGGCGGTGAAACCTGTTTCCGAGAATTGTTGCCACTCCAAAAGTCCTGCCCACGGTGTGATTCGCACCTCGCAAAGATTGCATCTGCCAAGGCAGTAGCGACCATAGTGCACACAGGTGGTTTGGTCAGGAAGGACCACATACCGTGTCGCTGTCGCAACAAGAACTGTGATATGTATGGCAGCTTGATTTGGCATAACTACTTCGTAGACGCTGGAAGACATTTCTTTCTGGGACATCCACAAGACTTGAAATGCTTCATGGTTTCATCATCTTTTGGCTTTTCGATCGAATGGCTGGAAGGTTTTCACAGCCGTGTTGTCCGCCAACACGCTAGCTTCATCAGTGAGAGTGACGTCATTCAACAAAGAGCAGTCAGACACGGTCAGACTGCTTGGCTGCCAGTGGCCCGGCTCAGAAAAATGATCAGCGAGGCTTGGTTCAAGTGGCGGTTGCTTGTGCGAGGGTACGCCTACAATATCCCGGGTGTGGCGCAGAACCCCATTGACATACATCAGGGAGTTGAAGATTTGCTGAAACCTGTTCTTCCTGCTTTACAAAAAGCATTTTCAGATGCTGCCGTGGCTTCAGCACGCTCAGCAAACATGCGGCGAGATGTCATTGTCATGGACGGGAACGCAAAGAACCGGCGGGCTGTATGCGCAGCGTTGCTGTGCGGGAGAAAGCAGTCTCTTTCTCTCAACAAAACACTCCGGCACAATTGCCCAGCTACCCCTGCGCTTGGGCATCTCTTTTGCGCCAAGCACAATACAGATGATGTGGCTGCTGCACCTCAGGACCTGGGTTGCGGAAAGCTCATGGTCGAAGAATCACACACACATGCACACCCTGGTGTCAGACTCCCCAACTCTATTTTGATGGGAACAAGTGTTCGTCAAATAGCTTGTCTGTGCGGCAAGGGAAGGCAACTACACTAACTACACGAATGGGTCGCAAACTATAGGATGACCTGACGCCGCAGCCGTTTTTCCTTTCGCAGAAGAAAGCTATTTTGTTTGCCTCTTGGCCCTTGCTGCGTCCGTTGTGGCAATGAGCCGGGATGTTGAATATTTGCCGGCAATGAAGAAGATTTGGGACGCTGTGGGGAAGATGTGGCAACCAGCTGACATCCTCACGGCTAAAGGCCACCAGATGTGTCAAACATGGGCCGTCCGCGCATCGCACCCTGAGTACCCATATGCACTGCACTTGTTATCGATGATGGCACCTTTGACGAACGGAGCTGCTGTGCAGATTTTTCCCACGGCAAGCAGTCCTTTGGTTGCCTTTGGAATCAACGTGAACTATTCACAAACACGAAAGAGCTCATGCACCAGCCATGCTGACAGCATCACCAGGGTGTTGGATTCCCATGTCCGGCAAAAGACTCAAACCTTCTTGAACCAGATGTCAGTGGAACAAGATTTCACGCATGATGAAAGCACTGCTGCTGGTCAGAGGCGCGGTTTCGGATAAACAATGCGTGTTATTGAACAGAACTACGAAACAAGCACCAACCAGAGCTGGCTTTAGTTCCAGAAGCTGTTGCTTCATTCTGTGTATCATGTTGACAAAGCTTGTACGTGTCTCGCGCCTTTGACTTTGAAGCTGTGACCCGAGGCCCAAACCGGTTGCGGCTGTGGTGCTATCATCCGCCATCGCAAGCGCAACCCCTGAGGAGTGGTTTCATAGATGCGCAAGTGACTTTGACCAGGTCAAGAATGGAAGCAAGTTGCCAGGTGGGTCACATCTCTGGCACGGCCGCCGGTGGTATGGAGTGCTTGGGAACCTCGACGAAGCGTATGATTTTCTCACCTCTTTTGGTTTGCTGTCTGATGAGAAGCTTTCAGCCAAAGCATCCACCAAGATTAGCCCGCATCAATCCTCTCTCAACAAACTTTTGCAGTTTGGCTCCGCGGCAAGAGCAACCAAGACGGCGGGTTCATTTGGCGAAACAGATTCCCGGAACATCTCGCTAGGTGTGACCACAAACATTCACCCGTCGCAGTTCTTTCCCATGGAGCGTGGCGAGAGTGGATCGCATCAAGTTGCATGCAAAGAGAGATTTCTAGTGGCTTCTGGGAAGCCCGTCCAGCCGCACCAAGACCTCCCCGACGATTTCATCTTAGAACCAGGCAAGGACGTCTTGAGCTGTTTCCTGTTCACCCTTTGACGGTTCGCTGGGTTTGTTGGGAGAACCGAGCTGTGGTTTGTTTACAGGACCATTTGATTGTTCGGGTCGTTGCTGACATCCTTAAAACTGCCTTAACACTCCTGTGGTCAGGGTATAGGAAGCTTTCAGTTTGTTGCGCTTCTTGAAATACCTGCCCTGGAACTTGCCAGGGACACCCAGACATGTTTGGGTACCTTTGCCGGCGGAAGTGGCCGAAATGCTCGGCATCGCCAAAGAGGCTACTTCTCCAGCAGCTGCACAAGCTGAATGGAAGGAAACCTTTCCTGGCGAGATGCCGCCAGAGCTCCCTGCCACGCAAGACTTTGCAGCCGACTACTTGCCATCTTCCGCGGGCTATCCTGTCCGCCTGCTTGACGGCAACATGAGCCGCCTGCGATTCCGCAGGGATCCCAGGGTGCCGTCTGGCTTCACCGCTGAATGGCGTGTGGCCAACAGAGCTTTTCCTGTGCCTCCTGAATTCCAACTTGAAGCGGCAGTCCTGCGGGTCACGGAATTTTTTTCCGTGCCACATATGAAACTTGATCTCACTCCCGAAGCCCAGCAAATGCACATGTCCTACCAGGGTGGATTGAATGCGCAGTCCCACATGGCCCGGGAACGTGCAGATCCTGTTGGTGGAGCCCGCCTCGGCGCTGCGCCGTGGCACATCGGCGTTTTGGCCGGGCTGCTGCTGGTCTACGAAATCTTCTCAGGAGTCTACAGCGCCGACCGCTTGCAGCAGAAAGATTTGCAGGTCACACCCGACCACCTTCGACGTGCGTTCGCTCTGGTCAAAATCGCCGGGTCCTGAGTATATATATATATATAATATGAGCGTCCGACAGAGCCACCGAAGACTAAAGGAGTGACGTGCTACATACCTTATAGACGGCGCAAACACTTGGTACGTTGCTCAGACATACTTGTGCGGTACGTTGCTACATACTTGTGCGGGCATGCTTCAGACAGTTTGGATTCGGGGTCTATGTGCCGGGGGGTGTTGTATCACCGGGCATGCACACATAGAGAGATGTTCAACTTTGCTCCACTTCAGCATGTCTGGCAGCCCTGTGATGGTGTTTTGACACCATTTCAAGGTGCATACAATCAAGGACATTGCCTTGGGCGAAGAAGCTGCCAGTCCCAACCCCCAGCCGCAGCCAGCAGAAGTGCAACCTGACTTCGATGCCTTGGTTGGGGCAGATCCACTTCCCTTTCCCGGCGGAGATTTTGCAGACTCCATAGTCGACGATGCGGCTGCAAGTCACAGCCCCGAACTTCCGCCCGAGACTGAGCCGCTCCGGGTTGCCGACGTTCGCTCCATCGAGTTTGGGTATGGCCCGGATGGCGCTTCAGTGCAGAGTGCTTTTCACGCGAAGCATTTGACTGATCGCTTCATCATGAAGGCTACGCTTCTACATGGGCATCCCAAGGTAACTTCGAAAACTATTTGCGACAAGTTGCGCTCCTCCAGAGAATCCGGTCGAAAGGCCTTACCGCGAGAGAACTGGGTGGCCGTGATGGAAGCTTGCGCTGGTTCTCCCATCCTTGACTTCCAAGACGACACCCTCCAACTTCGTGCTATACCGCAAGATGCACCAGGGCGGACATTCTACCACAATGAGCTGATGAAGTTGTGCGGAGTCACCATGAGAGAGCTCATGACAGCCATGAACCGAGCCGCAGCCGCAAAGGCGAAATCGGCAGCTCCTCCCAAGCGGAAGCGACAAGACGGACACGAAGATTAGATTGGTAGTAATGCCAGCTACAGGCTGAAAAAGAGATCTGTGCATCTGGCAGCTGGCGTTTGCGCACAAAAGCCCCCAACCAAGGTGTACACAAAGGCCCCCATTCGCCACGTTTTCCCCAAATAGAATTCATATCCGTCTTCTGGAGCCCTGTGCAGGATGTGGAGATTGCGGAACACAGGATACAAACAGATGGCTCTGTGCAGGTGTTGCTGCGGGAAACAAAAGGGGCTGAAAGAGAAGCTTGGGTTTCCGAGTCTGTGGTGCACCAAGCCTTGCTGGACCAATACTTCAAACGCAAAGGTGTGGAACGACAACAGAACAAAAAGAAACGGGCCGGGGGCCCGTCCTACGTGGAATCGCCTCCGGATGTCACTGTGCTCCCACACCTCTCAGCCGCTGAAGATTTGAGCGCTGTCGCCTGCGTCACCCACAAAGAACATGAGCCACTTCAGCTGGCTAAGAGTGCGGGGGTCCTTTGCGTATGCCTTTCCTCTGGCCTCATTGTTTTGCTGCATGAAATATTTGGCTGTGAAAGCCTGTCGCAAAGATATTTTGCGCTGTCAGAAGCTAAGTGCCTGCTGCCAGAAGCAGTTCTTTGCGTCCATGACGACGCGTGCCATTTGCTGAAATACGCAGAACGCCGCAAAGAGGACGGTGATGTACAAAATGCTTTTCATGCCCATACGTGCTTTCTTTTGAAAATGCGGGTTTTGTTTTTAGAACATATAATGCGTTGGTGCTTTGTTCAAGCGCTCTCTCCCGGCAAGGAATCGCATGCTGCTGCTGGCATCGCTCCTCCCAAGATGGCTTTCGTGTGCGACCCTTTCCATATGACCGGTCACACAGACAGATGGTGCAAAGAAACCTGCGCGCCTACTTTAGAGTGCCACAAGCAACGCTTGGAAGGAATCCGGAGCAGTGTCTGCGAATTTACATTTACGTGGCTGTCCCAATTCAAACATGCGTCCAAGCACATGAGCCAATATGGCTTCGTGTGGTTTCTCACAGAAGTGTGCTGGACGCACAACGAGCGCATTGCACAAGGGACAGGCACCATCGATAGCTTGCAGGAGATGGAGACTTGATTGGCCCACGTGAAACACAGCCCTGGAAGTGCGCGTGTGGGCGCCACTGGTTCGATGTGTCCTCTGCAACCGAAAAGCCGTGGTATTGTATACGCTGTTATTATGTATGTTTTCCCAAACATAAGTTGCCCGGCTTTTGAAAAGGGAATTCATGAAGCGGTTCCCAGAGGACATGTGGAGCCAGCCCCTGTGGATTGGAACTGCGGACAAGCGGAACAGCGGATCGGCGGATCAGCGGACCAGCGGACCAGCCCATCAGCGGATCAGCAGACCAGCGGATCAGCGGATCAGCGGATCAGCGGACCAGCGGATCAGCGGATCAGCGGATCAGCGGATCAGCGGATCAGCGGACCAGCGGATCAGCGGATCAGCGGATCAGCGGACCAGCGGATCAGCGGATCAGCGGATCAGCGGATCAGCGGATCAGCGGA